CCATCTCCACAGTGAGCATTGGAGAAGTATACAGATATAGTGCTAAGATATAAAATTCAGTATACCTGCCCAGGCAACACCCACCATCAGGTGGAATCCTAAAATATGATGTATAAGCAGCGATAAAAGAGAAGGAAAAACAAATTATGACTTAACCCAGTCACAGGCAAACAGTCGTGTGTAGAATTTCCACAGGAGGAAGACGATATCTGCCCAAGGAAGACACAGCGAAGTTGTGCAGAGAAAGAGTGATGAAAGTATAGAGAGATGTCCACATACTGGACTGAATAATCCCCTCCAAGTGAAGGAGGTGTCAAGCAGCAAAAGACAGGGTTAAATGATGAGTTAGGTGTGAAGAAACAATATGTAGATAGCAAACGGCCAGGGACACATCCAAATAGACCAGGTGTAGGAGTTGACGAACCCTACCTATGAGCATAATAGGAAAAAAGATGGGGAAACAAGAATGTCACGGAACAATGAGACAGGATCAAGAATAACAAAAGGAGATAGTACAAGCTAAACAACAGAGCTGGGAACGAACTGGACACAAGAGACGATCTGGAAACAAATGGGAATACAGGTGGGAAAAGGAAGGGAAAGAAAAAAGATAATAGATAAAACAATCTACCTGAGCAGCCAATATCCAGGGAAGGAATGCCAGATCCACATAGCGAAAAACATACAAGAAATGGTAAAGGATGGGATAAAAATTGGAACGATGAAAACTACATACCAGGAAAGGGAGGATTAAGGTTTCAAGAGAAATATCTTACAAGTAACAAATCGCAATGGGTTCAAAGGGAGAACCAGACAGGATAGGAAGAAAAACATGGAGATCCGAATCTGACAAAACTAAGGAAATGTGTCGGATGGGCCAGATGAAAGAAATAGACAACCCAGAGAAGAGAAAGTTTTTGGAATAGAGAGAAAGGATGGGCTTTCACATGGCAGCTCTATAAAGAGTAACAGTTAAAACAGACAAACCCCGAACAAACAACCAGACAAAGAGCTGGGACATGTGAGGAACAGAAGTACAGGAGGGCTGAAAGCCTTGGAAAAAAGAACAAAGACTTGTGCATCTGGTACACAAAGAGAAAGGGTGAAAGGCATAGGCAATGAAAGATGCAACATGAGGGACGAGTCCCTAAGATAAGGCACAAGACCAGACAAAAGACACACATGTTAAAACTTCTACAATTGACCCAAAGATATCTCTCAACAAAAAATCTAGTCACTAAATCCAGAATCATAATAAGAAGCACTTACAGTTCAGAGGGAGCTATTGAGTAACAAACAGAAAATTTCAGAGTTTTATGAAAAAAAAGGTGCAACTAACTTTTAAATATAAAATTTCTGAAAAGATATTTATGGGGCGGTCTAAAATTATCTTCCATATTTTAGAATTTAATAATTACATAACAAAGGATATACAACCATGCTGTTTTTAACATCTTGTAGCCCAACTCAAACAGTTTTTATTATCACATTTTTTTTTCCAATTTAGTGAGTTGTGTTACTCCAAAAAATGGCAATTGTGCAAGAAAAGGAAAAGTATGTCATTTGGCTTGCAGAGACCAAGTCAGTGACTTTGGTGCTGCGTAATTACAGACAACAGTACACGTAAGAAGTATAGGGGTATGTTAAGGATATCGTGTATCACACATCATGAGCTAAAAAAATATTGGTTAGACATGCTGAGAGCAACTATGGTGTATAGATAAAGACTACTGATATGCCAATAAAAACTGTTTGAGTTGGGCTACAAGATGTTGAAAACTGCATGGTTGTATTCCTTATTCAATTATCAAATTTTAAAATAGGAAATACAATTGTGGACAACCCTGTATTATTTTGGTATTATTTAAAATACTTAGATTAGCTTGGACTTGAATTTTACATAGTAGGGTACTGAGATCATTAGGCCTAATTTTATTGTTTGTTTTTAGACAGTTGGTTATAAATAGATTTATAGTATTTTAGGATACTAAAGCTATTTACTGAAATAAACAATTAATACAATTGTTAGCTGAAAAAACAAGAAGAATTCATTCAAACTAAAAAATAGTTATTATTCCTACTCTTACTTGGTAGCTAATAAGACTTCAGTTAATTATTTAGAATGAGCAATTGGTTCAGTGTTATATATATAGAGTTGTGGTACTAGTAATTTACAATACGAGTACAAGCTAATAGGGCTTTTTAGTGTTATGGTTATCTACAATTTAATTTATGAACTATAAAACAGCTTCATTTTTGTTATATTTACAACTACTGGATAGCTAGAGTGATAATACTAATAACAGAGAATATAGACTAGGGTTAGCATAGCTTCAACATGGTAAGAAGTAGTTAAGGGATAAGCAAGGAGGAACATATAAGATGCACATTAAGTGCCATAACTGTGTTATGATTGAGAATTGTGAGCTTGATTGCTAATTTCAGAAGGCTCAGAAAGAGAGTACACTACACTTGCATAAGTTAATATTTTCCTTTACCAAAAATGTATTTCAGATAATACTTACCTTCCCTTACACTCTAGCTTTATCCCGACCAAAGTTTTTCTTCTATGCCCATCTAAACATTGGCATAAATCTTACCTCACTTTCTCCAGCCTCCATACCCCACTACACTGTCCATAGTGATTTAAATCTTGTGATTCTCTCCACCTACATCAACGTGTCCCCTATACCAGATCCATATAGAAGCTCCCCATTATTACTTCCTATTCACTTTTCAAGACAGTTTAAATTAACAGGCCTGAAACTTCCCATGATGTGGGGAGGAAAGGCGGGAGAGTGTAAGTTAGAGGTAAGTTTTAACGGAAATACATTTTAGGCATAGGAAAATGTTAACCTCCGAAACACATTTAAATGCAAATGTGTTTACCTCCTCTCTCCCAATAGCTAGAATCCCCCATTGACAAATTGGAGGGGCGAGTGAGGGCAAGGTACACAGAAAGCATCTTCGTAGAAAGCAAGGTGTACGAACATGAGATATAGGAATAGCATACCAGTGGATTCCACACTACTTCTGGAACAGGTATGCTTTTCGTCCAGACCACATGCAACAGACACAAAATCATAACATCTTGAGAAGGACGTGAAATCATCCAGGCCCCAACCAGGCAGACAAGGTCCCATGTCTCGTCCTTGGAAATATGGGGTTGTGGACACAAATTGAGATCCAAGGTGTAATGGCTAGAGCATGAGGACCTCTGTATTGTTTGATCTTGTTTAGTAATGTGATATTATTGAAAACCCAATCTGAAAGTTACAGAATGTTGCATGTCAAACCACCAGAATTACGAAGAGAAGGCAAGCAACACCAAAGTGAACAAACCCTCGCCCCAACCTGATGAAACGCAAAATGCAACAAACCAAATTCAGAGTTACAGGACCTGTGATGCCTCACTCAACCTCAAGAAACAGAAATTCCCCAGTCTGGGATTATGAACCAAAATCCTAACCCCCAAACCAATAGCACTGGAAGTGATGCTCCACATGCTGAATTATGAGGAGTTGAGGACCCTCTTCCATGATCATCAAAATAAAGAAACTGACCAAATAAAGGGGCCACACACAACCCAACCAGCTAGCAAAGAGTCTTCTCTGTGCCAGAATTACTAGGAGGCTCCCATCAAACATCTGGGAAAACTACCAATAACCCTCGATTTGCTTTCTTCTCATTCAGTGAAATAATGAGTATAAACATCCCCGAGGATGAATAAGCCTCTGTCAAACACTCCATCGACTGGAAACTGTAAGTAGTAAGGACTCTCATGCTCCACTAGTAGAAATGGGGAAGGGGTGATACTCACATTGGGAAGTCCCAAGAAATGATGTTCTGGAGACAGTGCAATAGGTGAACCAAGTTCCCTATGTTGAAAAGCAAACTGTCCCTGATTTATTCAATCTAGGAGTTTGCAGGGATGGGCAAAATCCTCTTAAGCTTTACTCATGATAGTCCATGAATGGCAGTCCAGTAGCCTATTTGTTTTGGTGTTGCAAATGTTTACCACCCGGAGAGAACAGAAGGTGGTCTTATAGAACACCCCAACTCAACAAAGCTCATTGCTACCAGGAAAATTATTGATTGGTTAAACTGGTTGCTAGTGCAGATTTGGAAATAAGCAAATGTGACTAGGCAACACCTGCCACAGAGTGGGATCCCAATATAAAATGATGGGAAGGTCCAGGAAAAAGAAATTATAATAGAAATGAGGTCACTCACCTCTTTCACAAACAAACTAGGGCATGGAGAATAGCCATGTGAGTGGCCAAAAACCTTCAGATGGTGGCAACCACCAAATCATGTAAATAATGAGATATAAATGTATCAGGCATGGTCCACATACCAGCCTGTACAATCCTGTACAAGATAACTGACCGGCCACTAAATTCATAACCTGGAAAATGACAAGAAGTAGAACAGTCTGATGATTGTGGGCCCAAAAGAGAACATCCAACGTCTGAAAACAGAGACCTGAAGTGAATGTTCCCTTGCTTGAAAATGTAGGAGACCAAAGTGGAATTGTCCAAGCGAAGCATTACCACCTTTTTTCACAACAATTCGAGAGCCCAAGACATAGCTCATTAAACTATTAAAAGCTTGAAATAATTGATGTGGAGAGAAGATTCCTCTTCTGTCCAGAGGCCCTTGAATTCTATATCCACTACATGCATTCCCCATCTCTGAAGAAAAGCATCCATGAAAAGATGTATCTCAGGACATGGGGATAGAAGAGGGACACCTAGCGTTGTGTTGTTCATCTACAACCACCAGCCAAGATGGAGTGGGCTGGAAGCCAACAAGGTCATCAGACAATCCAATGCATCTTTGCAAATGTTCCAATGGTCCTGAAGAGAACTGAAGAGAACGAGTGATTTCAAGAATGCCCACATTGAGACATGAATTGAAAAATACCCCTAAATGGACAAGGTACTGTGTGGAAGTAAAAAAGGCATCTCCACTTGGATGAGAAACCCAGCTCTCACAGCATTTGATAAAAGAACTCAAGTGTGAAGCTCTGCCAAGCAGCAGAAGGAGTGAGAAGAATCTATTCTTCCATATAATGGTGAGTGTGAATGCCTGCTGAGTGAAGATGACACAAAAAGGATCTGACTGTCCTGCATAAGATGTATGGGATGAAAGCGAGACCGAATGGTAGAACACGAAACTGAAAAACCTGTTTCTCGTGCACAAAATGGAGATACTGAAGTGAGGTCTCCACAATCAAAAAGTGTAGATAGGCATCTGTGACATAGTCCAGGTGCAAAGTGCCACTGGAGAGAAAGAAACAACTTCATGGTGGCTGGAGAAAATGATCGAGTAGAAGATCCTGGATGGCTTGTGTTCAGGAACTGGATAAAAGAGGATTCTTGTGGAAGGAAAAGACAACCATTATGATAGACAATGAAGAATATGTGAAATGAATGACCAACCCTGATTACAGGCAAAGGACTGTCATACAAACACGAACTGTTTGAGCCAAGCCCTCACAGGACCAGATCCCATAGGGTAGTCACCTATGCCATTGTTGATGCTCCAAATGAGTGCAGGATGCCCACTGATAAGAACATGAAGCCAATGTGGGAGGTCTGGAAACCCAAAGAGGAGATGCCATAAACCTTCAGTTAGAAGACTGGGAAAAGAGAGAGGCCAATGTCTAAAAGAAAAAGTGGAAATGGGCCACATCCACCAAAGATTCCATGGAATCCAGAATACCAGCAAAAATCAAATGTCTGAGAAATGGAACTTCTCTGAGACCTCTACAGGCTGAAGAAGGAACTTGAACACAATCATGCAAGGCATCTCTTACCAAAAGATCCCAGCAACAAACCAACCAAGAGACCAAGGAGAGAGCAGAATCTGATAACCATACCTAAGTAGAAGTCAAAAAGTGACTAAGATCCTCTAAAAATTGAGCAGGAGACCTGTCAAAGGCCTCAAACAACAGTTGTAAAGAAAAAACTGCCAAACTGTTGGGACAGACAAATCCTGGAAAACTGAGTGTAAGATGAATAGAAATACAAGGCCAAGAACCCCAAAGACGATCCAACCTCTGAGAATCTAAATATGGGTCCTTCAAGTGATGGAAAGCACAGGCATGCTGATCCAATAAACAGGGAGAATAAGGCATGGCAGCAGCCTCTCTCAATTTACCCCCAAATCTCCAATGCCTGTCAAAAGTGGAAAGACTAAGTAATCAGCCGATTGATTTTACCTCTAGAAAGGAGGAGAAGTCATAAGCCACAAAAGAAATCTTAAGACATCACAAACTTGACATACCAGTTGGGCCTCCTCTGCACAAAGGGTGCCTGCCCCATATGCCTGAGCAATGCTTGATGCCAGAGGTGGCAGATTAGGAGACTCCATATCAGAGACATGAATGTGAGAATTTATATCAGAAATGTCTCAGATTTTTTTTAATTAACTGAAATTAAAGAAACTTGACAATAATCTCAAAGCCCAATGATACGGGTCAAAAAACAAAATCATTCAAGGTGTAGATATAACCAAAGTTATACAACACATAAGTGAAACCGGCACCAAGCACATAAAACCATTGTCATTATGTACTGCCATCAAGAAAAGTGAATAGGAAGTACTAACAGGGAGCTTATATATGGATCTGGTAGACGAGGTAGGTGGAGAGAAGCACACAGTTTAAATCACTATGGGCAATATAATGGGATCTACATGCTGGAGCAAGCATGGTGAGATTCATACTAATGCTTAGATGGGCAGAGAAGAGAAACTTTTGTCAGGATAAAGCTAAAGTTTGAGAGGAGGTAAGTGTGTTTCAGAACTTGCTTATTTGAGGATAAACTAGAGATGACTTTGAAATAATTACATTATTGAATGCAAAGATAGTCGATTAAAAACAGAAATTAAGAAAGCAAGACAGGAATTAAATAGAGTTAAGGCAAAGGTTATTTTGGGGGAGGATGAGAGTGCTGAGCTTACGAGGGCGCACAATAGTAAAAAGTAAACAGCCACATATACCAGATTAAAAGCACCATTTAGGTACCAGTTTGTAATAAATATAAGTCTTTTGCTGCTTGCAATGAGAAACACGATGACCAAAATGTTACATATTAGAGGACTCTCTCGAAAAGCATACTGAAAAGGTTATTTGTAATAAAGAGCACAGAAAGATTAGAACTTGAATTTCAATTTAAAAACCTAATCAGAACAGCTATTTAAAAAATACACTCCTTCAAGGGCATAAATAAACATATATATATAAACCTTTTGGGAACATTTTATCATGTTTGATGTAATAATGAATTACTAAGCAGGATCCTAGCTTAAATGAATGAATGAGCAAACAGCTACAATCACCTTGTCTTCAACATGTTCTATTGAGTAAACGAGTTGCTGATGAATCAGGAAAGACAGAATTAAAAATATTTCACCAAAATACAAATGGTTAATTTGCTGAAGACTGGAAATTACTGAATAAAAATATTTTGAAGACATTTTAGTTTTCTAAGATTCTTGACTACATTATAACTTTTTAAGAACTTTCCCAGAACTTTCCAGATCTTTTATGACATGTGCTTGCACACTAGTAAACATAAGCATGAAATATATTAGTAACAAACATAACTAGTAACTGTAATGGTTATTCAAAGTTCTATGTACTTACGAGCCCAACAAGAATAAATTAGATAGTAGTTGACTTTTCTGTACAGGTGTTTACTAAATGGACGTATGCCACAATACATGCACAACTGTATGCTGTTCAGGATAACTCCACTTAACACAAAACACAGGCAAATCAAAAGCCTGCATATAAATAAACTCTTCACATAGTCCATCATCTTGAGAGGAGAAACAGATACTGCAAGAAAAAATGTTCCACATAAATGAATGTTCTCTGTTTAGATGTTAATGTTCAAATTACAACTAGTGAGCTTGTTCAAAATATTTTCCTGAAAAGATTGTTACAGATTCAGTGAAATAATAAATCACTATCACCACTTTTAAATATAAGAATTACTCTAATCAATTGGGAAGCATTCTTAATTCCACAAGGACCTAGCCGACAGACAAAGGATTACTAAGTTAATTCTTTCAACATCAAAGTTAATGATCTGAAAATATGTTGAATTTACAAGGATTAAAACCAATGTTATAGTTTTCTTGAAAGCATCAGAAATATCTAAGTTATATTTAACTTGCATCTATATCTTTTTGGTCTGTACCCAAATGATAAAAGGTTTATAGAAAAGCTCAGCATTGCACTGTATCATGGCCAAACTAAGTTTTTATGTTATGAGGTTTATGTATTAAAGAAAAACTGGCCAATAAGCATTTGCTTATCTAGTCTCAGTCAACTTGACATTCAGAATTTTTTTATGTTCTTCGGTTATTTTTGACAATCTTTTAGAACTTTTAAAAAGTTTATTATACAAGTAATATTCTAAGGTTGTGGGCACGAATATAAGTATTTTGTACAATTCAGGTTACTTGCAAACTAATCCAGACAAAGAACTGTTTACTTGAAAAATGAAGTCCTTGTAATTTAGCAAGTGAAAGACTAGTATAAACCAACAGTTAACATCTTCTTTAGTTGAAAATGTATTTCAGATAATTAATTACCTCTCTATTGCTAAGAGCTCTTACTTTGTTCAAAAGCCTTGAACAAACTCTCACCCATATACATTTCTACATGTATTGCACCAGCGTATGCTATAATCATCATAATGCTGTAGCCCTCCACCAATAGGAGAATGGCACACCCTCCCTCTGCAGTAATCCCAGTGAGAACAAGCACGTGACATCAGCCCATTCTTGAAGTGGGGAGGAAAGGTGGGAACTGGTGTAGAGATAAATATGTATCTGTAACACATTTTCAGGTAAGGAAAATGTTAATATCAGAAACACTACTTACTTCTCTACACCATTAACAGCTTGAATCCCACATTGAAAATGATGGAGGGGCCATGAGGTGCGATTTTCACAAAACTAGGTGTCACTTAGTGTAGCAGCACACAGTGAGAGAATGCATGCTTCTCAAAAAGATAATACTCTTCATCCAAGTTTTGTACCGAGAGAATAGACAAAAGAATGCCAGAAAAATCCAGTGCTGGTGATTACATATCACCAAGGTGGGTGGAACATTAAAATATGTAGTATGGTTAGGGCTTTTCAAGAGAGGAGCCCTGACCCACATCCCTAAGCATATCCAAGTTTCGTCAAGCTGCACATACCCCCTGGGAACTGCTTGGGAGATACTTTAACAGGATGTCTTATATTACACTTTCAGGTAACACCCCAGCCCCACATCTCATATGATGGATGGGGCCAACTGGTTTATTAATAGAGGGAAGGTGTCACTCACAGAGGACATGGTTTGGAACTGAGGAAGTAAAGGTTATCCTGTGCTCCAATAGGAGAACTGGAAGGGGGGGGGGGGATATATGCGTTTGTGTATGAGGGGACAACTAACATCAAGCACAATCGTCTGGAAATGGGTACCCATTGAGAAACAGTGCAAATGGATACTACAACTAAACACAGCAAGTAAAAGACAGGTGTAAGGGCAGAAATGGCCATGTCAGTTATATAGTTATACCACTAAAGCAGTATTGCAGAAAACCCCATTTCAATGGTGGGCACTGAGCAAGAACAATGCAGATTTCAAGTAAATATTTCCTGCGAGGCTATGTCAGCCATTCTGGTAGGATCCGGTGACACCAAACATACTGCATGTAATGTGTTGTTCCACATGTTTGTTTTAATTACTTTTTTTTCTCTTCTTATTGATGTGTTTTGCTTCCTTGTTTATCTTTCTGAATGTATATGAAAAGATTGGTTTACACTTGGTGCTGCCACAAAATGAGTGAGAGATAATGAGATCAGCAATGGAGTTGGAGATGAAAAATCAACAAAATTCACAATGCTAGAGCCTCTTGGTGCACTGAAGAATGGTGACCAGAGAGAGGCCAAAATAAGAAGCACAGGAAACTACCCAATGATGTAAGAAATATGAAATGAATGTGTTAGGTTTAGTCCAAATACAAGCCAGCAAGATCTCCAATTATTGGCATTGAAAATCGGCAAGAGGTGTTATGATATGTTGAATCTGATGGGAAATAACATAAAACGTATCTGGTCAAACCCACCCCAGTTAAAGTGGAAGGGGATAAGTCCAGAGAGGAGGTATGCCATAGTAAAAACAAGCGATGATGGTTTTCATGAAAAGGGACAATCTGAGTAAAACAGCAAAAGAATGCCCTTACAGGACACAAAAGACAATTGAGACTGGAATTAATACATAAAAAGGAAATAGAAGGAAAAGAGATGGGAGATAAACAACCAATCCTCTCCCACACAGACCGTGTCTTTGGAAGAAAGGAGCAGTTAGGGAACAACTTAACCAGTCTTTATACTATAGGGGACAGGAGACAGCAAAGGCACGAATGTCCAAATGATAATGACCACTAGCAAGTAGGAGAAAACAGGTGAAAGAATGAGAATAGTACCAGGTAAGAGGCAAAAGGTGTGGATAACCCCTACTTAGTAACCGGCAATCATTAAAACAGATGGACCTTTGTCAGAAAAACAGGTAAAGCATAGGCCCATAAGCAGGTGTCTCCCTAGTAGTTGATGTAAGAAACAACTATTAGTGTCACGATGGATCATCACGAGTGACTAGATATCCAAGACCAGTGATTATGCTAAGCTCCAAATGATGAAGACATCCAGAATGTTGATAAAGCTAGATTACTCCTTTGGAGATCAGAACCCAGAGAAAGTGGAAGTGTCAAGAACCATTACCCCAATTGGAAAGAAAGGCATCAGTGTAAAGATGCAGATCAAGTGGAGTGGTGGAAATTTGCATGTAATGCTGGAAGAATCATGTCAGAGAAACAGAGAGAGAAATAATGATGGTCGAAGAAGTACAAGAGCTGATAAGGGGTTGCAGAACATGTACCACAGATACCCAACAACCCATTGAAGAGGATGTACATTAGAAAGAAACCAGAGTCCCCAGAAGCATGAGAGCCTCTATCACATGAAGAGAAGAAGGGTGAAAAACCTTAGATACCAAGATTTCCATGGCATAAAGATGTAAGGAAGATGGTTCAGCCTGCCCCATATGAGAATCAAGAAAACTTCTGGGAAAATGTTTAAGATGCAGAAGTTTAAAGGAAATAGGATAGGTGAGAGAATGAGGTGAATAAAAAAAAGGTGGAGTACGAAAAGTAGGGACAGATCATAAGAAGTAATTAGCACAACTCATGAGTTACTTATGAAGGAAAATTACAGGTGTTCAAGGGAAAGGAGGAAGGCACCAAAGGTTCAGGAGCCAAAAACTGGCTTCAAGGAATAGGTACCATAGCAAGTCTTGATGGTCCAAACTGTGGGAGGGGGAATGATGAATAGAAGTGACAGGACGAGAAACAGAAGAATGAGTAGTGTCTGTGGTCTAGTGAGTCGAGAAACCAGGAAATCAAAGGAAGATTGTTGTTGAGCATCCTCAGCATAAAATACCAAGGAATGGGAAACATCCTAAAAGATTGGAGCAGTGAGAAAAGGGCAAGATTTAAGTCAAGTAAAGAGAAAGATGCCTGTAAGGAAAGCACCAAGACCAAGAAGATCCCAAGAACAGAGAAACCAAGCCAAAATGGAGATATTAAAGGAAGAAATAGAAGCTAAAGGAGCAAACAAATAAGAATATGTGTTACCATCAAAACTAACACAATCACGATGAAGAGGAGGTGAAAGGTGGTGATATAACAAAGGAGTACAGTATAGATAAGATGAAAACAAGCAGGTTGCAGAAAAGAGAGTTACAAAAGGAGAAAGATGGATGCACCAAACAGACAGAAGGGACATAAGAGACTGGGGTTTAAAATAAACACCTTTGTCATGACCTTAGCAAAGGTGTCATGAAGACGAGAAATATGTTCATCAACCTGAAGGTGAGAAAGATGGAGGCACACAAAATAAAGCAACCCAAGTCAATATGATATACTGGAGATAGAAAGTCACATACCTGAATTACGAGTGTAGCAAATAGAAAGAAACGGGGGTACCTGTTCCACATCAGGAAGAGAAGAGCCAAAAGGAAAGGCTGGAAGTGGAAGAGCCAGTCAAAGCTGTCCACAGACAAGACAGTCCCCCCAGAAGACAATGAAATAGATAGAAAGGATCAAATCACCTGATGCACAACAGTGGTAACATTATGTTTGAAAAACATCAAAAGTGAACATGTTGTCATACAATGGTTCCTTACAGCTTTATAAGATACTTCTAGTACTTTACCATGGAATTAAATCTGAAATCTGTCACAGACCAAGCATTAGCTTTACTAAGTGATAAGTCATCATAACTACAGAACATCAGCTCCATCAACAGATAAGGTGCCTCCAGTTGCCATTGACATAGCTGGAGAAAATGCCTGAAAGCATAGTCTTGGACTTGGGACATTTATTTTAATTAATCAATTATTTAATTTATATTTTCTTGTTTAAGTTTTTTTCTGTGCATACACTGATTAAAGTAGCACAAAGAAGAAATGGTGACTAAATAAAACAAAGTTGTAATCAGGTGGAGGGAAAAAGTGCAATGAGGGCAAAATAATGTAGCAAAATAAAGTGATTGATCAAAGCATACAGAAACTGAAAAAAAACATGAAAACACACAAATAGTGCTGAGGAAAGAACAAGTTAGTACTCACACGCATTATTGCACAAGTAGGTTGTGTTACTCTCCCCTATTTGTGGATAGCTACGGCATTATGACTATTACATCGCAGGCTTGTGGCATGTGCAGAAAATTCTATAGCAGTTATATGTGAGGTGATAGTTCTTAGCAATGTAGAGAGGTAAGATACATTTCTAGAGTTATAATTTTCCTATACTGAAAATGTATTTCCAATAGGTACTTACCTCCTTTCACAAAATTAGCTATTCTCGTTCAATGCTGCCCTCTATATGCAAACTTTTTCTTTATGCATGCCACAAGCCTTCCAACGTGTGTCTCATGCAAATCATCATGCATCACTTCTACACCAATAGGAGCATGACATGCTCACTTGATGCATGTGACTCCTTTTATACTCCTCTACCAAACTATCACTTCAAAGTTTGGCAAAAGTCGTAAGCACCAGAGTAAAGTGGGGAGGAATGGTGGGAAGTGTGAGCGGAGGGAAGTACCTATCGGAAATATATTTGCAGTATAGAAAAATTATAACTTCCAATACACTACCTACTTCCTCTCACAAAATCAGCTAGAATCCCACACTGAATAGGAGGGACCAGTGTGAAGGTTTGATAGAAGTACCCCCAAAAGCATAAGAAGAATACCCCCAGAAATGAGAGAGTCAGATCCGAAGATCAAATGAGGGAAACTGCACCACTTCTGAACCAGGTATACTCTTCGCTCCTCTGTGAAATGTGGAGAAGATATGGGTGGAAAAGAAGAGAAGCACATCTAAGTGGGAGAGAACTGTGTCAGAATCGTGTTCCGACCCATATAAAATAAATATAACTCAATCCCACAAATAGAAAAGTGGGTAAAACTATGGATGTGCCCTCAGACGTAGAGTCGCTAGAGCACAACAGACCATACTCAGTAAGTCAACTACATCCAAAACACATGCCACTAGGAACCGACATCACACGGAGGTACGAGGTTCATACTGTCTTCACCTCAAACCCAAGAGATTGGGGGATTGAAAATCATGCCAATTCCCAGATACTACACAAGTATTAGCACTGAGCTATCTATCCTGTGACCCAACATCCGGTATCAAATGGATGTCTATCGCATGCAATCAACTCCTCCAACTAGGAACTTACCAGAACCATCCAAAAGACAATAACATCCCCGTATGAAGATAGGATGAGGGAGAGCCAAAGGACAGAACTGTCACGATGCTTCGTACCACTTTTGTGACCCAACAACACGGATGGAGAGAAATTGATGGAGGAAGATAGACAATCCAAAACATGTGTGAGGTCTAACGTTGATTGATTCTACTCTAAATCCAAAACCCAACCATGGGGTACAGAAATCCTCGTGGGGGTAGGATTAGGGCTCTTAACTGAAGGGGTGAACTGCATTTTGATGTATCACTCCTAAGTAATTGTATATTGCAAAGATGAGGACAGTACATCATATAAACCCACAGAACACCACCACCCCAACTCTGCACTGAAAGGTTATAGCCATCTTTGTGTGGAACAAATTCAGGAGGGTTCCTCCATGGTTGACCACCCCAGCAGCTTGGAAAGGGAAAGTGGTAAAAACTCCCATACTCCACTAGAAGAAAGAAGGATGAAAAAGCAATGGAGAATCATTAGGAAAGTCATCACCTGAGAGAGTGCAATGGATGACCACGAAACCAAGGGGATCTAAGGACTACTCTGTCGTATACATCCGGTCAAGGTGGGAATGACAATCTGCAACAAGATTGAAAGCACCCAGCATATGACACACAATGAGATGAATTTGTTGCATGTGGGCCCAGTATAAGAGATCCAATATCCAAAACCACAGATTTCTCGACTGGGTGCCCCTTGGTGATTGATATGTTGATATGAGTGTTGTATATGAGATTAAAACAAAATTGCTTTATCTTTAGGATAGCTTGCATGTGTTTGCAATTTAATGACAGTGAATTCTGTACAATAGTTGTAATTTTAAACTCGATTTAAAATTATTCTTACAAGCTATATTTTTAATAGTTTAATATAAATGCAAGCTAAAGGGAGCTTTGGGTTCTAATGATGATGTTGAGATTAGGTTTAATAAAATAAACCTAGAACACCTGTTGAACTCATTGACTGCTAATTCACCATATATGGTGCAGTCTGCCTCCAACAGTTGAATGCAAGTATGCCATATACAGTGTATGGGTTGCAAAAATTCCATGCGTATTTAGAGTACTCGTAGGCAAAGAGTTAAAAGTTCTGAGGATGTGACATAGCATTTTCTGACATCTGAAAATAGTTTATATATATGCAAGAATATATCAGTCTGTGTGTTAGCTATCATGGTTGCTTTGTACAAGCAAGTTGATTTGTTTTACATCAGTAAACATCATTTGTAAAGAAAGTTTACAGCAAATCTACACCATTACAAGTGTTCAAGTTTGAAGAAATGTTAAAGCATAATAAAATAATTTATTATTGTTATGTAAACTGGATGTTGAATTATTTTCATCAGATAACATAAAAGAACTAGGTCATTAACTATAATTCATTTGTTCAAAAAATTACATATTAATATTGACTTATTCAGGAAATAAGGTCTAATAATGCATATTGTACGTTCAACATACATAAGGTACAGTGTAGTAGAGGTAGGGGCTCAAACATCACAGAATACTTGTACCTGTAAACTGGCATATATTTAAGTGTTAATGCAAGACATATATTTTCATACATCAACATTTTTAAACATTCTTGACAATTTAAAAGTAATACAATCAAGCTATACAGTCCTAAGGTCTAAGAAAAAAAAATACTGTCACGATACGTACAAAACTACCTTTTCGGATTCAATTAGAATATACCTACAAGGCCTGTTTCTTTACATCCTGGAAACAAGCACTACCACATGAACTTGTAACACAGTAATATCACCACACAACAAGTCTTAAAATGAACAAATATTACCATTTGGTATACATTAACTTGGGGCAAAGTAATGTTATCAAGCAACAATTTTTTCAACATGAACAAATGTTAACATTTTCCAACACTGAAAATGTATTTCTGATAGATACTTATCTCCTCTCAAAAAAAGGCTTCTCAACTTATACTGCCTTCTAAAGGTGCAAATTTTTGCTCATCACTAGCCTTGATACTCCCACGTACCCCCACAAGTGAGACATCTGTATGCTATCATGCAAATGAGCATGCAGCAACCCTCCACCAATAGGAGTGCGAGACAACTCCTATCATCATTAGTGCCCTCTCTTCTGTGCAACTCGTAACCACTTTGAGATTGGGCAGCACATACAAAAACCTACAATGGAAGTGGAAAGGTCAGGTGGGAAATTTGAGTAGAGGTAAATATCTATCGGGAATACATTTTCAGTATAGGAAAATTTTTACTTCCAACATGATATCTTACCTCCACCTCACAAAAAACTAGCCCACACTGAGTTGGTGGAGGGTCCAGTGAGAAGATAATCCACCTTTAGAAAGCACCCAAAGGAAGACCATGGGGTGAGCAAATAAATTGAAGGCAACAAAGTCTCTGTGGGAGACTGTACCATTTCTGAGTCAGACACACCCACGTGAAAATTGTGTCACAATAAGAGTGAAAACATTGGAAAGATCTCCTCAGCTTAATCATGCATGCACATTCAACCCGATCATCAACATATCTGCTGGAAACCAACATCGAGGTACAGTAGGAAGGTGGACAGCAAAGTGGGGATACATCTCCAGTCCGTCACCAGCCAGCATTGGGAATGTATCGTCAAGTCTGCAGTAGGAGGAGGGAGCCCAGGTATAGATTAGCTAGGGTGCATCAAACCATAAATGGGAGACTAATCTCAACCAACACCAAGCAAAGTGTGATAATGATATCCAACCCATGGTAAAAAGAGGATCCTCTACCTTTCACCTCTGATACGAGAACTGGTTGAGAATATGAGCCTCTGTACAAAGGATCCACATCATCATGTGTGCAAATCCAACACAACCATCACCATATTCACTGGGAACTGACATCTGGGGGGATGGTAGGAAAGTGAACAGCAAAATGGGAGTGTATATCCAGTCCATCACCAGGCAGCACTGGGAATGTATTGTCTAATCTTCAGTAGGAAGAGGGTACCTGGTTTATATCAACCAGGAACTGACATCCAGTGATAAGAAGGCCCTCAAAATGGCATCTGGAGAATGATGAAAATTTGTAGAACAGGAAACTGCCAGCAGATAAAGATATTTAATAGTGAATGTATGGGGAGTGGTCCACATACCAGAACAAATTATGTCCTCCAACAGATAACGAAAATGAGCAGCCAGGGAAATGGGAAGGTGATGGATATGAAATGAAGAGACAAAGAAAAGATGACAAACATCTGGTGAAAGGGAAGAAAAGCCAGATGAAAAAGCTGGCAAATCCAACCCATAAAGATAATAAGAGAAGGGAGAATGGGACAGGGAAGGATACCAAGAAATAAAGAAATATGAATGGGAACATGGAAGGAATCAGTGCATGCCACATAACAGTGGAGAACCCTAACCAGGCAGAGGAAGCAAGATGTGTATGAAGGTGGAAGTACCCTTCCGTGTGGCCAAAGACTTGGGCAGGAAAGAACATTCGGGAAAAAGGACAACATAGAAAGAGTGAAATAAGGTGCAGTCAATATCAATAGTCAACACGTTCAACAGACTACATCCACACACCAACACGAGGAGGAAAAAAGTCATGAAGGAACGGATTGGCAATGGCTTGAATGGAGAAAGGCTAGGGACTGGAGGACTACATTGAGGTTTCAATCTGAGAGAGAGAGAGAGGCAGGGCAAGGGAGATAGATGAGGCAGAGATACAGAAACAAAAGGGAAAGTACTGGCAAATAGAAGATGCATAAGCTGGAACACACACTTCAATAACATTATCAAAAAACACTAACATATTTATGTCGTATTGGAAGCATGAACAAAGGATGCAATACCCTTTCTATCTTAAAAATATATAATGCATTCATAAGGACCCTATATGAATATGGATGCTCTGTCAC